ACCACTTTCTTCTTACTCTGAAACAGATTTCTCTTACTCATACTTTAAGTTTGAGATGCTCTAACCTCAAATTGATTTCTCTTTATCGGTTCTGGAGTAATTTCTTCTACTTCATCATTTTCATCATCTTCAACCTCAATGAATCTTCTTTTGCGACCATTCGATAGAGGTGACTGTGATCTATCACTGTTCAGTTCATCTTCAGCATTCAAAACATCTATTAGTTGCTGAGTTGTGTAGTCAACTGATCCCATGGAGCCAGAGGAAGCAAAGCTTGCTGAATTCTGTGAAGAAGTTGAAACCATAATCAGAAGATGATATAAGAGTCATTAATGTCTTACGGGTTGAATTCTGGAAGTAGTGCATTATCTCAGCAAGTTAACTCAGCAAGTGTTCGTTAATGTCTTGTCTAAGAGAGTCAGAGATAATGGAAAATCATGTCTAAGAGATAAGATAAACTATTAATACAGAATGAGATTATAAGAGTTACCGTGTCCATCACAAGTTCACGACTCTTGTCTCTCTCGCAGCCTTCATTGATTCAATTTTTCAACCTTTGTCGAAAACTTTGAGAATCGAGATGCTTTAGCAATAATTAGGTTAATAAAAGAAGTACAATTTATAGGTCTCTAGTTGGTTTAGAAGGTTTGAAGTTATGGTTTTACATTAAACTTTTGATTTTTTAGTAACTCAAATTGATATTTTTCGATTCTTTTGAATTGAGCTTTACGGGACGATAGGAGGAAGGTTCAGCCTGAACCGTTCAGGAAAGGAGAGAATCCGTTTGTGGAAGAAGCGTATCAGCGAGTTGCGTTGCATCAGCTTCTTCGATTGTGATCACTGATCAGCTTCTTAGATTGCGATTATGAGCAATCTTAGATTGCGATTATGATTTGCTCGATCCTTTATGATTTGCCATGTTTATCTCTCTGCTTTATGAAAACTCTTATGTGTTGTTACTTCAGAAAGACTTAATTGTTAGGTTTCTTTATGTTTCCTCCTTATGGTTTAATGAAATTTTCGTCTCCATTACATTAAAATGCTATGTTTTTATTTTTTATCTACTATAGTCATTGTTCAACAAATTTGCATTCAACACAAATATTTTCATCGTAGTTTTTACTGTAACTAAAGAGACAAAAATGAAGACAACCATCTCTTACATTTTCTAACATCGTCCTTATGTTCATTCGAACACATCAAAAACCTTTAACAACCACAAAGAAACTTAAACCGAACGCAGAGAAACTCTTCACCCTTGTAACTTTCTACACTTTGAGAGAGCGAAGTGCTTCTTCTTCATCGTCTTTAAGCAATAAATCAACTCATAATGAATGTAAAAAAAATAACCAAACCACGTCTTCGTTGTGTTTTGTTTTTCTGTTTGGCTACTCAACTTGTTCTATCTTCTTCAGAGGCAACTTTCTCTTCATCTCCATTATTGCTTCTTCTCTTTTCTTTCCTATCTCTTTCATCTCTTCCAGGTACTTAGCTTCAATCTCCTCCAGTTCCTCTCTTAACCTTTCTTCTTCCTCCAAGCTTACTGGTTCGGTTGCCTCTTCTGCTTCTTGATTGTCGCAATCTTCTCCTTTAATGGCAACTTCTGGCTGAAAAAAATTTTCATTTTCCTTTCATACAATTCACCTTAATTTGCCAATGCAAAACCTGAACTTGAATTACATATGCAGTTAACAGAGAGCTTCAGCATATGTTGTCCTTTGTTTTACTCTGAATCATCATGAACCGAACTTAACAGAAATTTTAGCTTCCAATATTCAGACCAGAGTTTAACATCTTCCAAACCAAGCATTACAAATAAAAAGATCAGAACTCTAGCAGATAAGCTGTCTTCTATGGTTGTTATCTGTCCAGTAACAGCAGACATTGCAGCAACTCAAGCACATCTCCCTTGAATCAGAGCTGAAGATTTGCCAGTGAGTAAATCATATTGACTCTGTAAGCGCCTTAGCTGCCTTTGCAACTCCAAGGCTTCAGCTTTATGCGCCAAAGTTGCATCTCTGTCGATTAAAAAGAAGCTGTTTCTCACAACTTGTGATGGCGTATCATACGATTCAACTAGTGAGTCACAAGGAACAAAAAACATTCAACAGTGTACCACATTCAAAGGTTCGAGTTGCTTAGGAAATCGCTGACGGAAGATCGACACCAACAACGGCGGAATCGCTGACGGAAGATTGGAAGCAATATCACAAAAAATTAAGGAAGAAGGATCGATGAGGAATAAGATGAACAGTTTTCAGATGCCCGTCTAACCCGCAAAACCGCAGTAGGTTAACCTGCTAGTCCCGCAACCCGTACGGGTCTAACCCGAGAGGCCGCTACTTTGGCGGACAAAATTTTTAAGCCCAAGCCCGCCCTGCATCGGTTCTAGATGGGTCTGGCCCGCGGGCTGCGGGTATTATTGACATCTCTACCATTAAAGTTTGAAATTGGTGAAAATGGTGGTTAGGTGAATTGATAATGATGGTATTTTCGTAAATAAGTGAAAAAGATGAGGATTATTTGGTCAATTGGATATCCAAATATAAAAGAAATTAATTTGAAATAATGACAATTTCGTAAATAAAACTGAGAAAGATTAGTTGGACACAAAATAGCTAATGTTGAGAAAATAGTTTTTGTGGATTAAATTTACATTTTAACTCATATTTTAAATCATTTTTGTAACAATTCCTATTTTGTTTTGTTTTTGTTGTTGCTAAACTAAATTATCAACCTTACGTAAGACAACTTTCAGTGTACCAGACTATCAGGGGCGAACGAAGACAAACAAGGCATACTCGACGTTATAATTAGTTTAAAATATTCATCCAGTAATTATAAAAGAATTTTACACCCATAGACACCATTTTAGAGTTCTTTTATAAAGAAACACACAAATCTATACTAAATAAAAGCAATTGTTTGAGGCTCCTAAAGCTTTTTATAATTATGTCACATCAGCAAAAAAAACCTCTCTATAATCATGTCACATCAGCAAAGTTCTAATAAAAATAATTATTTAATATATTTATAACATACTTAAAATTAAATAATATTTAATTAATAATAATAGTAATATTTGAATATTGATTAAATTATATATACCGTAGTAACAAAAGATGTATGACATATAACCTAATTTTAACAAAAAGAAAAATTAGCTACATGTTTAATATTTCAAATTCTTAAAGCCCAAATTAATAATAATCACATGTTTAAGCTAAAAATAGATAAAATATATTATTATGATATATACAGTTCTTCCACACAATAATAAAAAAATTCTCATTTTAGCTTTTTTAAAATACACATAAAATATTTTAGAAAACAATTGTTCCAAAAAACTTAAATAATAGCTAATAGAAACAAAGTTACAAAATACTAATTTTTGTAACAAAATTGAAAACGTTCACTAATGAAAGCAATTGTTTGGGGCTCCTAAAGTCATCCACATTTGCAAAAAAATAAACCTCTCTATAATCATGCCATATCACCAGAGTTCTAATAAAAATAATTCTTTACTATATTTATAACATACTTAAAATTAAATAGTATTTAATTAATAATAATATTAATATTTGAATATTGATTAAATTATATATACCGTAGTAACAAAAATGTATGGCCAATCCACGATGGTGCGGTTTATTTACAAGAAGTTGAGGAAATTTTGCTTTAGATGTGGTTCCCTCACACATAGTGACTCAGTCTGTCGTTATGAAGGGGAGGTATATCATCAAGATAGAATTGACGAAGGTGAGTCGGATGTGTCTATGCCACTTCACCATCTGCCAGAGTCAGAACGTCCTCAGGACATTGGTCCTTCTAGGCAGCATCGCACTCTTGTTCCTGATTATTCTATGAAGACATTTCATGATTCTCCGATACATCTGGTAGGTACGATTAAGCCTTCACTGCTTCCTGAAGATGTTGCAGGACCGTCACAGCCGAACTATCAACCATTACGAAGTCATGACACTGATGGCAGAGATGGCAGAGATGATACTATAGGGGGATGTTGAATCTAATGTGCAGCCTGAGGAAACTCCAAGGCATAATGGTGTTGATTTCCCATTCTTAGTTCCTCCAGAACCTTATGCCTATGCTTCTTCTCCACTGGATGATACTGATGCTGCTAGGGGAACAAAGCGTAAGGCGTTAACGAAAGACACTGATGATGAGGTTTCTACCAATCGGCAAAGGACAGACACTCGACACCCTGTTATGAATGTTGATAAAGGAGAGGTGGTAACCCCGAAGCCACCATCCAATCAACGAAGATAATGCATTGGAACTGTCAAGGTTTGAGGAACCCCTTGACAGTTCAGCATCTTCAGGAGATTCGAAGGGCTAAATCTCCTGATGTAATGTTCCTTGTAGAGACTAAGAATGATGTGACATATGTACAAAGCGTTTGTTGTTCCCTCCATTACCCGCATCAGTATATTATACCATCTCAAGGCACTAGTGGCGGCTTGGCGATCTTTTGGGATCAGCATATTCAGCTTAATGTTACCAATCCTTCTCTCAATTTTACTGATGTGTATATTAGAGAAGGCTCCACTTCGTTTTGTCTCAGCTATGTCTATGGATACCCATTTAAGCGACCTCGGCAAGCTCTTTGGAGAACAATGAAACACAGAGCACCGTTTTATCATGTCACTCCAAGACTGGTAATGAGTGATTTTAATGATATTCGTTCCAATGATGAGAAAGCAGGAGGACCTTCTAGATCAGACTCAAGCTTTGAATTATTTCGCAATATGCTTGTTACTAATGGATTATCTGATCTGAGAACTATAGGTGGTGCTTTTACGTGGGTTGGCCATCGACATACTCATGTTATTCGTACACGGATAGATCGTGCGATGGCTAACACTCTGTGGACAGATCTCTATCCCTATATGCTCAGTTACTTCAGTGGATGGGCTCTGATCATCGGCCTCTAATGATATATATGGATTCGAAGGCATGGAAAGCCAAGAAATTCTTTAAATATGATAATCGCTGGCTCAGAAATCCTCAGGTCAAAGATATTGTCTCTGCAACTTGGATGGATCAATGCCAGTACCTACCTCCACATCTCTTTGGCAAAGCTATTATTCAATGTCGGGATGCTCTTGCAAGATGGAAGCGTTCTGCTCCTACTAATTCCCGAAAGCAGATCGAGGATTTGAAACGATCCCTTCATCAAGCGTATAATGCTTTTGCTTTGGATTATAGTTACATAAATCATCTCAAAACTAAACTAACGCTTGCCTACAGGATGGAAGAGGAGTATTGGAAAGCTAAAAGTGGAGCGCATTGGCTTCAGGCAGGGGATCGTAACACTGCATATTTCCATGCCAGAACTAAGCAGCGGCGGTATTCTAACAAGTTAATTGTGCTTGAAGATGATGAAGGACGAGTATACACGGACCCTCATAATATTCAGCGTACAAATCAGGAATATTTCACCAATCTGTATGCTACACAACATCCAACTATAGACCCGGAGCTTTTAGCAGGTATTCATCCCACTGTCACTTCTGATATGAACCAGAAACTTATTGCACCTGTCACTAGAGAGGAAGTTAAGTGTGCTATATTTAGTATTCATCCTGATAAATCTCCTGGTCCTGATGAAATGAATGCGGGTTTCTATCGACATCATTGGGATATAATTGCAGATAGTGTTTACCATTTTGTTCAAATTTTTTTTCAAGATGGATCATGAGATGAGGAAATCAATCATACTCATATTTGTCTCATCCCTAAAAAAGAATCTCCCACTTCCCTTAAGGACTATAGGCCTATAAGTTTATCCAATGTTGCCTACAAAATTATTTCTAAGGTCCTTGCCAATAGACTTAAATCCTGTTTGAATGAGATTATCTCTGTTAATCAAACAGCTTTCATTCCAGGGAGACTAATCACTGATAATATACTTATTGCGCATGAATTACTCCATTCGTTGAGGACTAAGCGATTAAAACGTCACTATATGGCTCTTAAATTGAATATTACTAAGGCTTTTGATAAAGTTGAATGGAGCTTTCTGGATGCAGTGATGGAGCGAATGGGATTTCATAAGCAATGGAGGAGCTGGCTAATGACGTGTCTTTCCTCTGTTTCATACTCTGTGCTTATTAATGGTGCACCCTCCAACCGAATCTATCCTCAAAGAAGCATTCGTCAGGGCGACCCCATTTCACCGTATCTTTATTTAATCTGTACGGAAGCCCTTTCGGTTCTTTTGAAGCGTTTGGCTATAACGAAACAATTTGTTGGATATCGTGCATCTCGAGGAGGTCCATTGATTACCCACTTGCTCTTTGTTGATGATTCTTTGCTCTTTTCAAGTGCAACTATCAAGGATGCTGAGACCTTGAAAGCCGCACTTACTATCTATTATCAAGCATCTGGGCAGTATATCAACTATATCAAATCCTCTATTCTCTTTAGCATAGGTACTCCTTCGTCCACTATTTCAACACTCTCCCAATTGCTTCAAATCACCTAAGTTGGTGGTTTTGGAAAGTATTTAGGAGTACCTGAGTCAATAGGTAGAAGCAAAGCTGAAACGTTTGCTTATTTAAAGCAATGGATTCATCAGAAATTAGCTAGTTGGTATACGAAATTATTGTCACCTGCTGGTAAAGAGATCTTGCTTAAATCGGTTATTACTGCTATTTCAACATATACTATGAGTTGCTTTCTGCTTCCTCAACGCCTTATCAATCAGATAATGATAGCTATTAAACGCTTATGGTGGTCTAATCACCCTGATAAACGGAAAATTTCATGGATTGCTTGGAATAAACTTGTTGATGTTAAGTCCAAGGGTGGCTTAGGTTTTCGGGACTTCAGAGATTTTAATAGTGCTTTGTTAGCAAAACAGGGTTGGCGTTTGATGAAATATCCTACGTCATTGTTAGCACAAGTTTATAAAGCTAAATATTACCCCACAACAACCTTCCTTCAGGCCTCTCCAAAAAGGTCTTCTAGCTATGCCTGGCAGAGTATTCTACGTGGGCAGGAGCTGCTTAAATCTGGGGTAGTGTGGCACGTAGGCAACGGAGATAGCTTAAATGTCTGGACTGATCCCTGGTTACCATTGAATCCTCGTAGACCACCTAAACCTGGGTCTACAGGGTATTATCCTAAGCTCAAGGTTTCTAACCTTTTTGTTTCAGGTACACATTTGTGAGATCATGCCAAAATCCAGCGTCTCTTTGCACCACAAGATGTGTCTGAGATAATGAAGATTCGGCCTTCTATTACTAATGCTCCCGACTCCCTTTCCTGGTTTCATACGCCTCACGGTCTCTATACTGTTAAATCAGGATGTGCTATTCTGCTCAGCTCTCACTCTGCCTCTATTGCTTTTACTGGTAATTCTCATGATAATCTCTCTTTATTTAAAATTGCTTGGCGCCTTAATGCTCCTCCCAAAGTGAAATTCTTTTGGTGGAGAGTTTTCATGATAGATTACCTGTTGCTTCTAAGCTTTGCAAGAGAGGTGTCTCCATAGACTGTACTTGTATAATTTGTGGGCAGGACGAAAAAACTCTTAATCATCTTCTCTTTCGCTGCCCATTATCATGTGAGGTATGGGACTTATCTTTAGCCCATCTTTCTGAGCGGTTTCATATGAGGTCTTCGACCTTTTCACAAAATCTACAAGTTCTATGTCGATTAATATCCTCCAAACAAGATGAAAGTTCCTTAATTCCATTTATTGGTTTTGAACTCTGGAAAGCCAGAAATGCTTTACTTTTTAAAGGCAAGCGGATCAGTATTGTGGCTATTATTAATAAAGCCTTTTTGCATCACCGAATATGGTTTCAGGTTAATACTCCTTCTGCTTCGTCTTCTCAACAGCTTTCGTCTTGTCCTGCTCAGGTATCTCTTCAACAACTGTTTCACACCTCTCCTTCTTATACTTGCTAAGTGGCGGCTTTTTGGATTGCCCCTAATACTGAAATATGAATGGCTTGGGCCCTATATTCAAAAACTAGTACTCTCATTGTGCAAGGTTCCACTTCTTTTGCTCCACTTTCATCACCGGTAGAAGCTGTAGCAGTGGCTTTAAAACTGGCTATCCATGAAGTAACCAAGCTTCATTATATGAATGTGACATTCGTGGGAGACTATCTGCGATTATATCTTCCCCTCAGCAAAAGTGCAGATGCCAATGTGACTATCGACCAGCTTCGTATGGTAGCTATGGATGTGCAGGATATACTTTGTTATGCTCAAAAGTCAAGGCATGTGTTTAATTATATCTCTCGTACTTTATTACTAAATGTTGTTAAATTAGCTCAGTCAGCTCAACTTCTAAAGCAACATTATGTAATTAAATACTTTTGTTAACTATAGTTTTATTAGTACAATGTATGTTTGCTGAAAAAAAAAACTAAAAATAGATAAAATATAATATTATGATATATAAAGTTTATCCACACAATAATAAAAAAATTTCATTTTAGCTTTTTTAAAATACACATAAAATATTTTAGTAAAACAATTGCTCCAAAAAACTTAAATAATAGCTAATATAAACAAAGTTACAAAATACTAATTTCTGTAACAAAATTAAAAACGTTCACTAATGAAAGCAATTGTTTGGAGCTCCTAAAGCCATCCACATCAGCAAAAAAAACCTCTCTATAATCATGCCACATCAGCAGAGTTCTAATAAAAATAATTCTTTAATATATTTATAACATACTTAAAATTAAATAGTATTTAATCAATAATAATAGTAATATTTGAATATTTGTTAAATTATATATACCATAGTAACAAAAAATGTATGACATATTAGCTAATTTTAACAAAAATAAAAATTAGCTATATGTTTAATATTTTAAATTCTTAAAGTCCAAATTAATAATAATCACATGTTTAAACTAAAAATAGATAAAATATAATATTATGATATATAAAGTTCGTCCACACAATAATAAAAAATTCTCATTTTAGCTTTTTTAAAATACACATAAAATATTTTAGTAAAATAATTGCTCCAAACAACTTAAATAATAGCTAATAGAAACAAAGTTACAAAATACTAATTTCTGTAACAAAATTGAAAACGTTCACTATATAGAAAAATTTAAAACATTCGACTTTTACAAACATACATAGTATATACATAATAAATAAATAAACGTTTTTTTTACATATGTAAACATCCATTGTCTCTACAAAGATAAACTTATAAGACTTTGTTAATACATAACTTATTACAAAAAATTATATACAATACATTTACAGAAAAATATACTAGCATAATTCTATTTTAAACACTAATATATTATATTCCTATATTTGAAAATAGTATATGCATTTTTATGTAAAACAAAATATCATAAAAACATTCTTAACCATCCACATCAATAAAAAATAATTTCCTTACAAACTGAACATGTAAAAAAAACTAATATGATTTTTTGGGTTTAGAAAATCATTTAAAAATTATATGATATATATTATTAATTTAATTATAAATATTCATCAAAAATATGTGTGATGTAAGATAAATATATAAGTTAAATTACAAGCCAAATACAAAAAATCTTGTACACCTTTTGAGTTTTGTGAAACTTGACATACTTTTTTTAATAAAATGAGTTAGTATAAAGTTGTATTTGTATATGTATTATTTGCTTTATTCATCTACTAATTCTATAGTTTACAGATGCTTCAGAGATCAAATCAAAACTCCAGTTTATCAATATGATTGTGATTTTGCATACTATGTAAATACTTTTTCATTTATATGAACAATACTTCTTTTAAAAAATTTTAAGAGTTTTAAATATTGACTATTGTCTTGTATTTGAGATCTGCTAATGGAAAAAAAATTACACGTACATAATTGAAATGAAAAGAAATCCAAATTAATTGAAAAAATAATCAAGTGCTTTAGTTATAGTCATATGTTTGATATAAGTTATTTTCCTTTTATCTAAAATGAAATTTTTTAAAAATTAAATAATGAGAAAATTATAGTTGTTGAATTCAATTATATATCAAATTTAGTTAAAACAAGATTAATTTTAATAATATTTTGAAAGTTGTTGTACGAGTTTATAGAGAAACATTAAGTTTTAGATTAATAGCTAATTTTCACATATATCAAGTTAGTAAATTTTTATACTTTCTGAGTTTTGGAAAACTCGACATACTT